GGTAAGTGTAAACAAACTTTAGTAGCGTTGTCAATTACGTGCCTAATTCCAGGACCGGATGACAGACAGGGTTGGAAGAGCGAAAAGAAAGTGAGATTAACTGTGGTGAATCATCCCCACGACAATCAAACGCATTCCGAACACTAATAAATCCGGCGCGCCTTTAAACTACCACAATGCGTTAAACATCGAGGTCTGCACGGCTGCCCACTGGTGGGACAGCTCGATCCTCGGAGTCACTCCTGTGCGTGGAGTGGCCGACTGGTAGACTGAGAGTCTGGCCGCAATGACCCCCTCTTACTGTGGCCCCCATGCCACTGCCAACCGAGTAGAATCCGAGCCGGACACTTCTTGTTTCTTCGATAACCTGGTTCACTGGGTGCTGACCAGGTCGGGCAAAGCATGCGTAGACGGGTTGTTTAGCTTTGCCTGACCCAGAACAACTGTAGAGGGTAATCACCATTCTCCAAATGACAGATAGAAATATATCCTAGTACTGATGTTTTCTTATCTGTCCCGTCCTCTTTGCTGAAGAGTTGATGCCATCTCAAGGAATCACGAGAAAAAAGAAGCCATTCAAAGTGCAAAATCTGGGCTAGTGAGAGTACATAGATGTTTGTCCTCCGCTGGCTCGGGTTTATCTTCTTCCTTCTTTTTACTGTGAAATTCTCTGACTTCATCCTTGTCTGTGAAAACTTACACCACAGTACCGATGGAATCCGCGTTAGTCTTACGGGTCAGGCCAACAGATGAACTGCAGACGAATGTGTGAGTATGCCCAATACAGCGAAGATGGACAGAAAAAGTCGTAAGCCTTGGCTATCCGTTAAGTTCAGGCTCAGGAATCTCTCAATTGTGGGCAGGAATATAAGGAATGAAGTGTCTCCAGAGGTGGCAGGTTGGGGTTGCTTCACCGCCGCTATGAGGAAAGTCCCTTCGAAAAATAATTCAAGCAAAACGTGGACAAATTTGACTTAGTGGTTGGTCGCGCATTCAAACAGAGTCTCCCTGTTAAGGTGCATTAGCACATTCGCCCTCCCTTAACATCGAACCCAATCAGCAGGTTCGAGGAACTGCGGGCGAAAGACCCGTCGATGACTTCATTTGAAGCTCGTGGTACTAGGTGAGAGAAAAGGATTTAGAGGACGTGAGTAACTGGCCACGGCAAAACTTTGGGCAGTCAAGGTGAGTATCAAATTAATATTATTAGGGGTCTTTACGTTGCGAATTCCGCATGAACGACCAAAGCGACCACATCTCCGTTAAATTTGAATGCCATATGTCGGAAATCATTAAGTTTCGAAACGCAAGGTTAACTAATATTACTTCATTCCCCCGGTACGCATATGTCGAGGCGGTATGGCCGACAACGTGAAGATTCCCAGATAAGAAGTCATGGAAGTCTGATTGCGTTGGACAACTTTACTGACATGTAAGAGTGTGCAAGATGCTCTTCAAGCAGTTGCCGAAAGTTGTCTCTCCAGGCCAGTCCTCTGTCCTGTGTTCCCAGTTGAGACTGTTAGCCTTCAGCGTGTGCGTGCGCATTCGCTGTTAGTGTCCGCCAGCCAATGAAGAAAAGGGCAGCATTGACTGGCTTCAAGTACTCGTGAGGCTAGTGGCAAGCATCGCACGGTCCCAGGAGCGAATCGACAGGGAGCGTGAGGTGGACAGAGGGGCAGGTAGACATGACGGTAGAGGTCAAGGGAGCGGACAGTCACTGTATCCCGGCTACACCGAAGGCGGCGTGTGGTTACACCGAAAGGGATGCTCAAGCCTGAAATACATGAATAACCGAATGGTCAGGAAAACTAACATGGCGTCCACTACGGGTTATATATACAGGGGCACAGGAGACGAGTGGATATGCCTTGCGGCCACAGTGTTGGACGTTTGTGATTGTATAGTTGCAATTTGGGGTAGCGGACATGATGGAAGAGGGAGTATACAGGACGGAGGAATAGAAGGTCGGGAAGGTAGGGAAGGGGGTAGGGAGCCACAGGGCTCGTCTGGAGGAGTGTCTGTGACGGCAGCTTTGAGATGGCCCACGCTCACGACCTCCTCGCGGGTTCCGCTTTCGATGTGGAAGGTCTCCGTCCCATGAGAGATAACCCGGCAGAGGCCGTCGTAGATTGGTTTCAGTGGCCGGCAGACTCGATTACATCGGAGACAGACGTGATAGCATGTCGCCAAGTCTTTCTTAAAGTAAGATTCGGAGACGAATTGCCTGGGTGGAAACGGAGGAAGTGTCCGATTAAATTTGCGGATACGGTACAGGAAGTTGACAGGGTCCTCAGTAGCACCTCGCGAGTTTGGCGAGATCATCCATCTAGAAAGTCGGGTGGTGGCACCGAATGCGAGTTCGGTTGCGGAACAGTCAAGATCCGACTGGAGGGAGGAGCGGATGTCCAACAGGACCGGAGAGAAGTGGTCCGACCAGTTCACCGAGCCCTCTGTCGCGCGCAGGGAGGACTTCAACTAACCGTGCACCCGCTCGAACACCTTGTTGGCTGCCGGATGATAGGCTGTATTGCGTATGCCAGTACAGCCTAAAAAGGATAAAAGCGACTGAAAGAGGTGAAATTCAGACTGGGCAGCAGGAGAAGTCGCAATTATGCAGGGGGTACCGAAAATGGCAACCCAGCTACTGCCTAAGGGTCTTGACCACCGTTGGAGCAGCGACATCGGGTAGAGAGATAGCTTCCGGCCTCGGAGTGAATCGACCCACTCAGGTGAGGAGATAGGAACAGGCATTGGACAGAGGCAGGGGAGTACGATGTTCAGGTTGACATGACTGAACCATGCATCCGGAGTGGCAAACGTGCCGATGGGAGCTTTTTTGGCGCCGCTGGACCTTAATTTGCTAGCAGCCGAGACACGCCCGTGTCCATGCGTCCAGGCCCTCGTGCATCCCAGGCCAGACGAAGTGGTCAGAAACCAGCTTGTCGGTAGCTCCGCTCCGAGGGTGAGAAAGGTTTGCAGGGAGGAGAAGAGCTTGTGGCGGGGGATAACGGCACGACGGGATAGTAGGGGCTGTGGAGACGCTACAGAGAATGGTGCCGTTGCCAGTAGTCAGTGGCAGGTCCTGGACTTGGAGTCTGGAAACGTCCTCGTCAAAGGAAGAACCAAAACGGCTTCGTTTGGCAGCCATCTCAGCTAGATCCATCCGGGAGACAATTGGAGATGTGCGATGGAGGACCTAAACAGTGTCTCAGCCACTTCACTGCGCGACCCGTCGATGTGGAGAATGTTCGAGGTAAACTGTGAGATGTAGTCCAGTTGGCGATTTTCCCGGGGGTGGAGGGGTTGCGCTTGTCGGAAGAGGGCTTTAGAGCGCAGCTATTGTAGTTCCCGTTTCTCAGGTTACTAAGCCTTACCTTTCTTCCGTACCCACAAGAAAATCGTTACCGATCTTTATTCAGCTTGTTCGCCGGGCCACTCGCAAGTAGTCCGAGATTTTAACTAAACTGTGGAATCTTGCATGAACCTAGCTGAGGTTGTCCCTACGGGATGTCAAATGGCTTTAAAACGGATTGGTCCTATTTCAGAGACTCATGGTAGCCAGCTTAAAGACTCTTACGTCTCTAACTACGAACTTGAAGGACGAGATCTCAAGCACTGGGTTGCCTAAAACTGGTTAGCCTAGAGCCCATAGGCTCGCAGTACGGCGCATCCAAGACCAGTATGCGGCAAAACTAGTGTCGGATTTGGGACTTGCAAGAGACTAATTATGACGGTGCCGAGTTGATGAGATTTTTGGAGATTCTATACGATTTTCGAGGTGTTGTAAATTCTCGCTATAAATATGAGTTGAATATTTAGCTAAATTGGCATGAGTTAAGTTGGGTCACGTGGTTTTTGCGGGTGTAGGGACTTATTGAATAGGATGAACAACTGGACCAGCCAAAAGGGAGTGGTCTCAAACGCAAACTCGAAGTTTCCGCAAGCTGTCTGCGACGGTCACAAGCGGCAGGGGAACAAAGTGGTGGATACGGCCCTAGTTTCATCAGCTGGCAGTTGGCAGGTACTGAAATATCTCAGTTCAAGAGGGGCTCATTAGAAGAAGTGTACGACGAAGTCAGAAGTGCAGCAACGTAGAACAAAAATAGGCACACACGATGTAGGAAACCGACAGTCAACCGGATCATTGAGGAAAGCACACCTACCCATGTGAGCACAGGCACATTCAGGACAGAAAACGCCTTCCGCCTTCGTGGCACTCCAGTCCAGGTGGAATCCGAACCGGCCACTTCTGTTTCTCTGAAGACCCGGTCCATCGTGCGCGGACCAGGGGCGCGAAGGCCGTTAGGCTTTGTTAGCCACTGCACCTGATCCCACCTGCGGTCGATCTGACTTGACCCTGCTACCGGGCCAATGAGTGTGGGAAGGGAGAAAGTACGGTAGACGCTGCGGAAGTCTGCCATCACTTACGCGCAGGTCAGCGTCCCTGTGCCTGCCATGCTGTAGGACATACGGCGGACATCGTCTTTTGCAACGCTCGAACTGTCAAGACAACTGGAAATGGGCTCTCTAGCAGCGGCTGGGCAGGCATTTACTTCGGCTCATACGCCACGCACTTACTGGCTCCTCAATCGACACGGGCCACACGCGGCACAACCTCACTGACAATGAAGGAACATGCTGACTACAATTAAGGGGCGGTTAAAGTGCCCTTCCCCTCATTCCCCTTCCCCTTTTGCATCGAGCTTTGTGGTGAAAAGGTGAATAACATGTGGGCAACTTGCTTGTATGCAGGTAAAGACAACAGAAGGACCCAAAAGTCGACTGAGTACGAGAAAACATTACTTAAAGCAGCGGTTCATGGAGTAAAAGTACAGTTCAAGGTGGATCGTGGTGATCACCGTTTATATATGTACAAACGAGGGATGAGGGAGATTAGTGCTTGGCAGCCTTAGACTGGGGCCCATCGTCATCTGCTTGTTGCTTTCGCTTGCTGATGATGGCCTGAATCTGCTGCCACTCGCGATCGACTTTGTCGTTGCGTTGTTGACCTGGACCACTCCCGCCGCCACCCAGTCGGCGAGTACGTCGGCCCTCGGGCTTCTTCACGCCGTACTGGAAGGCGGCCTTCGGCATGGCTTCCTTGTTTGACATGTATTCGCCATACTCCTCCTGGGTTTCAAAGTCCCAACGCCCGATGGGACCTTTCTTGTTGCCTAGATCCATTTTGCTGAAATCAGTCTCGTCGTCTGAGTCCCCCATCGCATCGTAGGACTCAGCAAAACCAGGATAGCACTCGTCGTAGCCTGAGATCTCCGACTTTTTAAGCAACCGTTCCAGACTGGCCTGTATGGGAATAAAGTGCAAATGGGAATACGCGGATGCACTAACAAGGCAAATTCAAAGTCCAAAACAAAGGTCTTAGATAGCAGTGTTCCAGTGGGCCGAGGAACCTCGGCTTTGATCACGCACGTTTGATTCAAAGCGAGAACATTTTCGACGGAAAAATAAACGAACTGAAGTCTCCACAACAGCCAATTATAACGCTGCGCACAAAAGTCAAGGCCCAACCCAGAACGTAAGCAAACCCCGTCTAATTGGAAGACACGGATAATTGTGACGCGAATTCAATCGAATCTTCTTCAAATACACACTTTGATAAGGGACTCATCAATGTCACGAATCGTCAATACTTATCGTGCTTCCATTCTGACCAATCATTTCATCTGTGACCTCATCGTGCACAGTAGTTCGGGATTTAGAGTCCAAAGGCCGAGCCTCATACACGACGTGGAAAAGTTGTAAATCTGACAAACACACGATTTGTGTGGGGACAGCGATGATAAGACAACGGAGAGCGCGGTCTTGGATGAAAAAAACCTGGTTCTGTCAATGATTGGAAACAATGGTTCGACACGAATCAGTTTTGGTCCGTCTTCAAAAGGAGTGTGGTGTTCACCGATAGGGAATTGTGTCAGTCGGCGACAAAATAAACTTCCCCGTGGTACCGTAATCCGACTGTGGAAGTTCCCTTTATGCAGAAAGATGCGGTCCTCGCCCTCAAATTTTGTGACAGATAAGCTTTAACACAGACAAACCGGAAATACGACTTCCATACGAGAATCTTAGACGACTAAATAGCTTTTTCAATCATTAATTATGTCAAGTACCGAGGCTCCTGAAACATAAAAACATTGGTACGGTAAAGAGTGCTTAAGTGGGGGTTCCATAATAACATCTGACGGATTCTTATGCTAGATGCCAAACAGCCACGTACTGACTTTCCATTGAAATCTAATTTACCTAGGGGAAAACTTTTACCCCAGTAGTATATGTTAAATTTCCGCTGTACGGTTTGTACGTAAAGCCGGCAACTTTTTGTGGAAAGTAGTAAGAGGTAGTATAGTGTAAGATAAGACAAGACTACCCAGTGGTAAATACAGTCAGGAATGGCTGTTTGTTGACGAGATACACAATAGAGCGCAGCATAGACCACTGAATACAGGAAGACAACTGTCCACTTTCTCGGCTCTCAGCTACCTGACGCGTCAGCAGGCTCAATAAAATGGCCTTCAATGAAGGCTACGTGAGAAATAGGCACCGTCTAATGTCTGACGAATAAGTAGCCGCAGAGTAGTGTCGGAACTACTACTACGACGCGAATGGCTGAACTTTGTAGAACGTATTACCCTATAAAGCACCGCAAGGTCTGGTGATGGCACTGTAACATGGCGGTCATGAAGCTACGCTAAATAACTTCTTTTGAAGTCGTCGGTGTGAGGTCGGGTGCTAACGCGTCACATCCCTGAGGAAAGCAACCTCGAACAAACAAACATGGCGGTTGTTGGAGTCTCGCCTGATACGCAAATTCCCAAGAAACCTAATGAAAACTAAAACAGGCAAGATTGGGAATGACCAGACCTGGCAAACCAAGCAAAGCTGACAGCATATGGAACTATCGCCTAAAAAATCAAACCGTTAACTAAAACAACACCCTTACCTTCTCTTTAACCTGTTCATCGTCCTCTCTAGGCCCGTACTTGACAGCCAACTCTCGTATAAACTCATTGGTCGCGGCTATTGACCCATTGACAGGCATGTTGGCGCCTGTGTCCCCTTCACGGCCGGCCTCTGGCTCGGGGCGTTCAAAATAACGCGACTTGGGCTGTTCACCACCCTGAGAAGGTTTGTCCCACCGACGCTCAGCGTCTCCGTGCCGGTCGGGCCGAGGTGCGGCCTTCCCAGATGACTGGGTCTGATTGGTTGCGCCCGAACGCGTAGCAGAGGGGGCCGGAGGAAGATATTCGCTGGGCACATCGTCATAGATGGGAACGTGCACAACTAGAAAATGAAAGATCATCTCAAGACAAAAAGTGTGCATACAATCTACGTAGCCAATAGATAGGGAAAGTGGAAAAAGACAATCAGTGGGAGCCGTAAGAGGCAGCAAAACAAAGTCGCTAATACCTGAGTTACGGCAGTCTAAGAAAGCAGTGGTTTTGTCACATACCCGGTTTCCGATTTTTATTTTCAGCAACCACTTCAGGATAGTCTACTTCAGGGTCATTGGGAGCCATCCGTAGCTTAGCCTTGGCCTTTTTTGCCTGACGACGGCCGGCTCGGAGATAGGAGAAAATCTGAGTGAGCTTATTTATGACAATGTCGTTAGTGGTCATGGCTCCTGACTCCTGTTGATCAACGTAGGGGCAGTCCGCCTTGCTACGGATAACTGTAGCCGGTACGTCGAATTCCGCGAGCTCATCTTCCAAGTCCACTCGATATGCCATGCGGCCAGGCTGGAAGTACTCGTTTCGAACAGGCAGGTCCTTCTTGAAAAGAATCTCAAAAACGTTGGCTGCAAGGCGGGTACGAAATTGCAAGCCCTCCTCTTTCCTGTCCAGCGGTTTCTGCAGCTCAGAATTTAACAATTCATCTGCCTCTTGCTCCTTGCTTTGAATCTCCATGCGTACTTTCTGCAATAGAACGTAGTCAAGACCCTTTACAAGATGGGTATGCTTCATATCACCACCCAAATATTTGGATTCTTTGATGATTTCACGGCGTCGCTCAGCGTGAGAAGCACCAGCAGCAGTAGTGGGAGCAACAGCCCGATAATCAGCCGTTCTCATCAGCATATCTTCGTCCTGCTCCACGTCGTGGTCGTCGTCACCTGCGTCGACACCCTCACCGCGACCAGGAATTCGACCTTCTCGGCGTTCTCTGGCACGGTCACGATACTGCATGCCCCCTCCCTCACCGTCAGTACCACCAGCTACACCCCCAGATTCGTCACGGTTGGATGATTTGCGGTGTTTCACACCGTGGTGCCGTTTATGTGAGGATCTGCCCTTCGATCGTGCTGGCTGCGAGTCAGGATCAATGGGTCGCCCACGAGCTTCGGAGCGACCTGAGAAAGAACGTACTGACTCTGAGGGATCCTTGAAGCCGCCAGCCGAAGCTTTCTGCTGTTGAACAGGTCGCGGAGTCATGAGGAGTTTCCGAAAGTCGCTGTTTGACAGGGGCTGTCGGCCGCGCTGTTCCTCAGATGGATAAACTCCATCATTTGGAGCCAACGGGTTTGAAACGTCTGGTTGCTCCATGGTCGCCTAAGAAGGATGCAGAAATAAACTTTAAAGTTAACCACAGAAAATGCGGAAACTTGAGCAACTGAAAACATTTGCTACAAGACAGGGTCGGACGGCCGGCATCCCCCTCACAACCCCTTCCTCAACTATAACTGTCACTTTCACCGACCATCTGAATGATGTGATATTTCGTTTTTCCTGACTTGCGGTGCGCGACTAGTATTACCTGGATGATGGTCCGGATGTATTTTCAGCAAGAAACCTTGGTTTATGGAATTAGGGAGCATAACCAAGGACCCCATTTGATTGTCATAGATAAAAAAGGGGGATTGCGTCCCAAATGTCCGAGGAATTATGGTAAACAAAGATACTCGAAAAGAAGGCCTGGTGACCATGTAGTCGGTTTAAGACAAAGTAATAGGTGTGCGAGTACTCTAACGCCGACGGTAGCTCCCAAACAGTTCATAATCGACAGTGAACTAGGATAACGATGGTCCATACGGACTGGGAAGCCAAAAACCCTGCGTTAGCCCTTAGATTATGAGAATGACGGCGAAAGTCCTACTTTCGTAGAGTGAAAAGGTTGTATGGTCACCTGTGACCGGCGCCCGTGCCGCTTTCCACAAGAGAGGATGAAGAGTGAGCTTATAATGAATGATAAGGGCAGCTCTGTTCGGTTGCGTCATAGTCCGCCCTTACCCAACGATTTTCTCGACTGGCAATTGTGCTGCAGTGACAGCAACATCAATGTTTACACAGGTGTTCGTCCTTACAGACCCTATATCGGTGCCAGTCCATGAGACTTCCTACAGCAAATTTTGACGGCCGACCCAATTCCGCAAGTCAACCACCTTGCAAATGATTGCCTCATACTGGAGTCAGCTGGTGGTACTCTTGCGCGAAGACAAACGGGTTGGCAGGATACGTGTCTAAGTCTTGGACTACGAGTTAGACATTCGCTGGAGGTCCACCTTCGTCCCGTTCGCCAGTTTGTTTAGTTGACCGCACGGACGTAGTTGGCAGCCAAAGTCGGGTAGGAGGACGTTCTCATGGGCGCAGTACATGGTCGGGCGAGGAAGATGCAGGTGGGCGGTTATATTTCTGGCTGAATATGAGGCCGTTCGCCACAGACGTGGTTGGAAGGACAAATCTTGACAACAGAGCGATCGGATACTTTTGGGTGATGGGGATCTATGCGCAAATGCTATGATTCATATCATACAGAGAGATCGTCGGGACCGACGACAACTACACTCGCAGTTTGGTCTTCTGACTCATCTCACATTGATTCCAGAATTTTCGATGGGGTCGGCCGGGGGGCGTCAGTGCCCGGTGGATTAGATCTTTATACCGCTTCTTTGACAGAGGATTAGATTCGAGACAGCAGATGTCCAATGGTCCAACAGTTTGGCCACTTACTGGGACAGAACAGATATTACCCACAGTGAATGCCGAAGCATTCCTCTTGGAAGTAATTTGTTGGTCCATTTCTACTGAATCCATGTGTAGGAGACGCCACACGCTACCTGTACATAAAGGAGTTCTATTTGTGCTCAGTACAGATGTGACTATCGAAAGTGGTCGCCTACATCTTCGAAACGGGTCAAGGGTCCAACTTCGCAGTCCTAAAGCTCAAACAAGCAAACAAACTGTTCTGGTATTTGACCGGTCTTGTTCGTCCTTACTCGTACAGACACCTGCAATTGAAACGTTCGTCTCCAGATATGATTATCCCTGACGTTACCGTCCTTGATTGTGTCGTGGTTCATATCTCTCCACGCGCGACAATCTACGGCAGAAGATTCGATGCACATGTCGGATAATGGCCAAATACATCCTAAGAACCACGAAATCCACGCGGGTAGCATCGTTTCGGACGGAGATGACATCCCCGCTCTGTCGATTTGGCAGTATCGTCAGACCATGCTAACTTACAGCCCTGACCAAATTCTATCTCATTAACTACTGTTCTTTTTAGTTGCGATAAGTCGGTTGAATGCGCCTGTTCTCCGAAGACCTCTGCCCGATCTGGTTTGCTGAGAGACGACCGATGAACGCGTCTCCGATAGCATCGTTACAATTTTCTTCAACTGTAACAGCCTTGAAACCGCAGTCTTTATCTAAAGCCGGTAGCTTCTGGACGAACCGGTCTGGGATTTTGTCTGCCTTCTTGCCTGTAGGTGGCTAGAAGATGGCGAGCAGGGATTTTCCTTTTGGGTCGTGAGTGGAGGTCTCGCAGCAATCCAACAGCTCCTTAACTGGAGCATTCACTCACGCATTCCCAGACTGTCGGAGAAACGCAATTAGTCAAAGCGCTTAATTTGTTCGGTTGTTTGCTTTCGATCGTGGACATGAAATTTTCAGACATGTGAAACCAGCGGTTCCGTGGTTTGGAAGCGCCTGAAGCGCTTGGATTAGCAATGAATAGTTCTGGTCTGAGAGTAGTCCAGCTCGCATATTATTCGTCCGCACCACTGGACCAGGGTTGCGGAGAGTGTCGGTTCCCGTGGACGCCGTAGCATGCGTCGTAATACTCTAGTCGCGAATATTTCATGAGGTTTCTTGGGAATTTCGGATACAGGCGGGTCCCCAACAGCCGCTTGGATTGTTTGTTTGGGTTGGCACCTCTAGCGCTTTGGCTTAAAAGCCTAACCACAAGACAGCGGTGGCAAGCAAACTTATTTAAGGACGGTTTACGGCCGCCATGTCACAATGCCGTCATCGGGCTTTGCAGCTGTTTTATAAGGCTTTCAGTGTGCCAGATCTCAGCCCTCCGCACCCTGGTATCACTGTCGCTGCTGCTCCGCAAATGCTTATTCGTCAGACCTGAATCTGCTTATTTCACAGCTAATCTTCACTGAAGGCCGTTCCACTATCCGCCACCTGTGGACGCGCCGGGTAGCCAGCAGCTAGACTAACGGGCAACCCGTCTACATACTTGTCAGCTCAAGGTTCCGCCGCTGGGTTCACGATTGCAGATTGATGTGTGGTCCTCAGACTGGTAAAGCCCACGGGTCGAACCATGTCCTCGTTCATACACGCTTAAAAGTTCACCTCTCATTCACACCAAAAATGCCACTTCCTAGACGCCTCGATGTCGCAAAAATCCGGCAAACTGGCACTGCCGAGGCCCTGAGCAGAGAAATCTGGACCTGTTTTACTACCCGAGCTGACGGAGAAGGCAGTAACCATTGGTCGTCACTGAAAACGTCAGTCCATGGGGCAGCTGCGAAATTCCTTGGATATACCCAGCGACGCCGCAGTGACTGGATCAGTGGAAGAACTCTGCAGTTGTCTGCTCAGACGGCTCGAGCCAGATCCCGTAATGATGACTGCTTCCGCCAACTTCGGAGGATGACGCCAAAATCGGCCAGGGATGACCGGAGGCAATATTGGGCTGAAATGGCGACCTCCGTGGAACAGGCGTCGAACGTTCGTGACACCCGAAAACGTTACTAACTTATTCGCCAGTTTAGTAATAAGCCCTCTACACTGAGTGACTCGGCTCACGACGTGAATGGCGGCCTTATTGCTGACAACTCCGTCAAAATCGAGCGCTGGCAAGAGCATTTCGAACACCATCTTAACTTCGATACCCAACCCACCTCGCCCTTGCTCTCCTCTGCAGCGGAGTTTCTTCCCTCTCCAACCTATGCAGTGCCATGCGGTTCCCCTTCTGAAGAAAAGGTCGCCGATGCCATACAAAAGCCACACAACAAAAAGGCACCCAGAGAGGACGGTATACCCGCTGAAATCTACAAGTCCTGTGTCGACACTGGTGTCCCGGCTCCATGAGGTGACTGAATAAGCGTGGAGAAACGGGGTTGCTCCTAATGACTGGGGCTTAGGCATCCTCGTACCTATCCTCGAGAAGGGAGATAAGACGAGATTCGAGAACTACCGCAACATAAGTCTCATCGACGTTGCTGCGCAGATCTTTGCTGTTGTCCTACTCCAGCTATTACAGGCTGTGCGTGACTCTAGGACGAGGTCCAACCAGGCCGGATTTCGTGCTGGACGTGGATGCGCGGACCAGGTATTCACACTAAGGCGCACTCTCGAATTTCGCCATAGTTACCAACAACTGACAGCCGTCTGCTTCATTGACTTTGTCGCCGCGTTCGATTCCGTCCATCGTGAGTCCCTATGGCGAATAGTGGCGTTAGATTGTGTACCGCCACAAATCATCGCCATGATCAAGGCCTATCATCGCTCCACCATAGCGCGAGTTCTAGTCCGCAACAATCTTTCCCAATCGTCTGGTATTCGGTCTGGCGTTCGACAGGATTGTATCCCGTCGCTCAATCAATTCAACTACACTATTGGTTGGACTCTCGGGAGGGTTCTACACGAAGGTGACGGTATTTAATTTGCACACGGACACCGACTGACTGACCTCGACCATGCCGAGGACATTGCCTCAAGTTTTGGTGATGTGCAGTCTATGGTGTCATGGGTGAACGAGGTCGCTAAGTCGGTCGGTTTATCCATAAACGCTGAGAAGATCGAAGTGTTTTCAAGAGGCATCCTTGACCAGGAGAAGCCACCTCTCGAGACTGATGACTGTCAACTTGAAGAAGCAGACAGTTTTAAATACTTCTGGGCGAGGCTGCTGCCGAATGGCCAGAGAAAGGACGACATTGCCTCCAAATTGATGCTGCCCGACGGGCTTTCTCAAGCCTTAGAAAATGCCTTTGGATCCGACGCGACCTCACCATCGTCACTAAGATTCACGTGTACCGTGCGTCCTTCCGGTCAGTTCACCTTTATTGCTGTGAATGCTAGGCTGTGCCCATGGAGGACGGGCGAAAACTGGAGGACCATCCTTCAAGTGAAGTATACCGACTTCGTCTCAAATGAGACGGTCCGCGCTCGCTGCGACAACATCGCAAGGATAACCCAGGTCATCCAAAAAAGACGACTGAGGTGGTTTGGGAATGTTCTTCGTCGTCCACCTCAGGAGCTCAGTGTTGCTGCCTCGACCCGGCACCGTTACCCCATTGGAGGGGTCGAAGAGGGGATCAACTCAAAACCTGGCTCGACACAGTTCGTCAAGACATGGAGGTGGTTCTTGGACCTTCGGTATTCGATCTCCATCGTTGGCGGAGAGAATAGGTTGAACTGTCCAGATCTGCTGCCGCAGATCGTTACGCGTGGAGAGGTAGAGTTCGGGACATCATCGAGGCCGGCTAGATCAGGCATGGTCGCAGCCGTACCAAGTACACGTAAGCAAGCGTTCTGTTCTGAGGAATCGATCCATAACTGGGCTGTGAGATGAACAAATCATCGCAACCAGAATTGTCGCACTCAGACGAGTGAGACAGCTCGACAAAAACAGGATGAAAGAATCATGATGAGTAGCCCTGAAATTGGGCATTAGCCATCATACCTTTCGGAACTAAAACGAGGAAAATAACAGTAGTTAATGAGATAGAATTTGGTCAGGGCTGTAAGTCCGCATGACCCCTATTTATTGGCCGGGGAGGATGTTATGGGAAATTATTGCCCTAATAAAATTCCATCTCATTAACTGCTGTTAGATGCGCCAATCGTAGGATGAATAAAGCCCTCTTCTAGGGTACTCCGTCATTCTGATTCTTTCGTTCTTGGACCTTCGTTATTCGGTCTGCGTCGTTGGCGAAGGGAATGGGTTGAGCTGTACAGATCTGCGCCGTGGATAGTCGCGCGTGGAGAGGTACAGTTCGTGACATCATCGAGGCCAGCTAGATCAGGCATGATCGTAGCCGTATCAAGTACAAGTAAGTAGTGGTCCGTACTCTCAATCACGTGATTGAGATCATTTGATTACGACCCCTTGTAACGAGGTATTTGGAACTGATAAATCCTTTAAACTGCTGGTCATCAATAGCTATAGATGTCCTTTCTTGATCAGAGATGCAGCTCCGAAATAGTTTGATGTCCTTGGGCTTGAAGGCAAAACAAATTGATTTGACAACTCCATTCAACCACAACACCAAATTTTAGGTCGTCGTAGCTTGATGCTGACGGAGTGATATCATCGGTGCAGTCGAGGCCAGTGGTCAGTATCCTGGTGTAAATTCCATGGATCGCAAGTAGCATAGAGATGAAGTGTTAGTAGGTTCTGATCATTGTGAGAATTTTTGCCGACATGCCGTCTGTCGTGCTAACATGAGCCTCTGGCTAAATTTCATCTTATCTACCATTTTTCTATCTCTCGTTTTTATTCCAGTACGTCAATTGTAAGATGAATAAAGCCCTATTACAGTGCATTTTTGTTCTGATTCTTGCATCCTGATTTGTTCGTGATCTCCCTGTCGTATGCTTGCTACGGTCCCAGCTACGACGCCGTCTAACATCGTTACCCATCATAGGGACTCGTGATGGATGGAAACGATCAATGCAAACGGCTGTTAGTTGTTGGCAGTCATGGTAGAGTTCAGGAATGCGTCACAGTGTTAATGCCTGGTCGGTGCACTCACGTCCAGCCGGGAACCCGGATTGATCGGCTCTGTTTCCAGGGTCACACACATTGGAATCGCCTCATAATGACAACAGAAAAAAAAACATTTGTAGCAGGGTCAATGAGACTTATGCCGAGGCAGTTCTCACGCCTTGCCTTACCTTACTTGTCGTAAACAGGTGCACGGATAGCAACGTTTCCGTCATTAGGAACGGGCCCATCTTCTTAAGATTGATCTATCACTATATGAATGCAGGACGCCAGACTGTTGATACATGACTTGTCGCTTTCAGCAAGGGTGTCGTCCTCTTCGGGCGTCTTGGTGTTACGCAATCTCTGTACTTCATCCATCATTTTTTTAAGGAGGCACACAAGATACTGCATAATTTAAACAGGGGATAAGACACCACTGACGAGGAAAGAGTGGGGTGATGGATTTGTTACCCAAGATGAGAAGGCTCTCAACTTGTTCCCGTCGACGATCGAATCTAGCAGCGTTGCTAGCAGTTAAGTCGCGATTCACGCTGCAAACAGTTACAGTCAGCGCATAGGGCTTACCACTAGTTTGGTGAACAATTTGGTTTTTTGGAGTGTCACCGACTTCTGAGGCCTGTCCCACGGAGGTCGCCACCTCATCCGAATTGTTTTGTCGATTACCGTCATCTTCCGGAGTCTTGAGATCTAGCTCAGCTATTTGAGTAGGTAACCAAAGTTTTTCACTGGTACAGTTACCACGACGCTGCTGAGTGAATCCGAGAATTCTTTCAGCTACCTCAAGAACTGAGGACTTCAGTGGCGCCCAGTTGCTACTGCCTCACTCCTTGACTCGGGTTGCAAAGCGACACCGTAGTCCTATACTCAGAGGCTCGGTCATGCTGGATGTTCGTAGTTTTGAAACATCATGGCGTCCTTCACGAGACATTTTGGGTTCATGGGAGAGGTGAACAAAATAATGGTCCAAACCATAATCGTCACCAGCTCCGGCACTGCGTCGACTTGTTACCAGGAATCCAACTAGGAGACAATGAACAAACTAAAACGTGGCTAATCTGACTGATCATACGACCACTGTTCGAAAACCAGGATAACACGTGTTCGTGGCGATGCTAGAAGCACGTGTTGGCGACGGTCGATCCCAGTCGGCGAAACTCATCATTCCTTTACGACCGTCGAACTGATAGCCAGGCTCAAAACTGCCAATGAGATATTTGTTTGATGAGTCGTCTGATATACTTCGGCCATTCCGGCCTCAGCAGACAATCAATATATCAAGACAAGAGAGTCATTCCGTTAGTCTTGAAAGCTGTGAGTTGAGGGTCTTTATTGCGCTGACCGATAGTTGATGTCTTCGCGTAGGTGAAAAAGACGTAGATGTGAGTAATGAGGGTTCTTCATCTGTACAAAAGGGAGCCTGTTGCTGAATGGTCTCTGCGCAGGTGATGTGTGGTAGCTCTTTTAAGAGGGCGATCGCCACACCTTTCCGCCGAGAAGGGCCGCGTGGACCACTGTGATAGAAGGTGAATTTATAGAGGACTTTAGATTGGCAGCAGGCAGCAACGTAGTACTGATTAAAACTGCGCGATGTCAGAATTTGAGCGCCGGGGTCGGGATCCCCTCGCACGTTCCGACGCCCAGTACCAAAGGTCTGTTCCAGATTAGGTGGTACACTTAATATACTATTTAGCCGCACCATTGGAGCAGGGTTATAGGGCGCGTCTGATCCCGCGGACGGTAAAGCATGGACCGCAATGGTGAAAAATCGAACTTAGGCGAGTAACCAAGAGCAGTTCGGATTGTTTGGCTGGGGTTTTCTCCTCCAACGTTTGGGCTCAAGAATCCAACTAAAAGACAGCGGTGGTACATAGTTATTTAGTGGTGGTCCCCGGTTGCCTTGCAACAGTGCCGTCACTGGTCCTTGAGGAATTTTAAAGGTAATCGATTAGCCAGGCCTCATCCCCCCAGCGAGTTGGTAGCCTTGTCGCTGCTGGTCCGCTACTGTTTATTCGTTAGGCCCGAGTACCCCTTCAGTTCGCGGCTATGCCTAGATGAAGACCGTTCCACTATTCGACATCCGTGGACGAGGCTGGATAGCCAAAAGCTAACGGGCGAAACCGTCTCTCCGATGAGGAAGAATGACAATATCAAGGCATGTAACAAACGAACCACAACCTACTGCAGATCTGGGCAGTCTGCCAGCACACGCTAGGGGACCTAGTTTAATATGCAGCTCAACCAAGTTGGTAAAACAGCCTGGCAAACGCCGAAATCGGTATTAAATAATTTGGGTCTTATATACGACTGATCGGTCCTTGTGGTGTGAAAATATGCTTAAATAATTCTGAGCAGTCTCCTTTGCAGGCCACTATGCAGTGTAGTCGCCAGTAAGAAGACCTAGAAAACAGTGCCAAATGTAATTGGGCTAGAACCATGACAACACAGGTTGCTTAGTGGCCATTTAGTAGCAGCTCCGATTTTTGTCGCAAGTCCACGTGTACTTGTCCAAATGATAAAGGCGGCACAATCTGCGTGAGTAACAAGCTCCTCAATGCAGAAGTCCCAGTTATTTTGCGATCTACTCCGCGCGGCAAGTCGCCTTATCGGACCGTGGGACGCTTGCGCAGCTTGTCAACACATTCGGCCGCGCACAACGTGCAATGAAGAGTTGATGCAGCATGCGCGTGAGAAAGAACTGGTAAATGAACTGTGTCCAACAAACACTCACAATAATCAGCTAATAGTAAAAACAGCCAGAAAGTAAAAAAAATAGAGTTAGTAGGAACTAGCAATACTCGAGTACTCGAGTATTGCTAGTTCCTACTAACTCTATTTTTTACTTTCTGGTAGCTAAACCCTCACTCGTCGTTCGCCTGATTACACGTGTAATCAGGCGAACGACGAGTGAGGGTTTAGCTACCTCAATACCCGGCGACACCGGAGATTTCCTTAGGCGACCGAAAGAATACGGCTCATCGGGTCTTAAGGCTGTTATTAAGGTACTTCTCGTTGTTTAATCGTGAAAGCAACGAGATGTATCTCGATGGAAGTAGATCCATCGGCCACGACTGCCCTCGAGTAGTTCAAAACGCCTTTTCTATAGGTGCCAGAAAGGGCAAAAAAACACGAAAGCAAAATTCAGCAAATTAGTTGGCAAAAATGACTGGAACCAAAATTGTAAAACGAAGAATCCGGGAGTGAGTAAAAAACGGAGTCGCGGTATGGACGCGTTTTGAAGAACACGGCTCCAAAACCGTGAACACAAAAAACCTAGCCACCAAAATTCATCACATTTTTGCTTGTTCAAACAAAGCGTTCAAGGTGGCGAAGTTTATTCCATCTTTTTCAATTCCCTACTTAATTTTGAGTCAGTATTAGAAAGAAAGGTCCACGAACCCAAACGAAATGACGAAGTGAGATCAACAAAGTTTTGCGGAACTATGTGGAGTTGGTATGTCAACGAAACTGCCGAACATCCAAATGGACCGAGGAAAAACAGGCCTTATCCTGGCATACAGATCGCTAGCCCCCTTGAGATAGTTTGTTCGTTGGACGACCACATTAGCTAGGGTGTAACTAGACCCGCTTTTGGTCGTCTATACGTTGATGTAGGATCTAATGTCGCTCTCTATTGCCCTATTTTTGTCTTTCGGGATACTATATTCTATCTTGTATAAGAAGGATAACAGGGAGAGCGCTGGATGATCCTATTAACGTAGAGTAAGTTATGTATTCTTAAGTTCATTATAAAATTGCGAACGTCTAACCTGTGTTAGATTCAAAATATAACATTGTTAATAGACTATTCTTATTGTTCAATGCGAATCCGTGCGGATGAAAAGTAGGTTAGAAGTGCTTAACACGGCTGCTTGAAAGAAAACATTTCGTCAAAAAAGTTCCTCAAAAATTCTGCACCCAAGCTTGCCAGTTTACGGACATTGTCGTGGAAAGAATAAGCGCAAATCCAGCTAGCAGTGAAAAAAATCCTAATAATTAAATAAAGAGAATGACGTTTATGTATAGTTTAGAGAGGTCAGTAAAAGAAAGGGCATTACATGTCTCACACCAGAGGCTTTTGCCCGAAGCAAAACTCTCGGGATAATAGCGAGAGGCAATTACATTCATGCTTTAGATTAAGGGGCCATAGCAAGAGTTCGATCATTGTTGTCCAGTTAGTCATCCGACTGAATGAAATATCTAGTAGTCTTTCCTGTGGTCAAAGGGTCTTTCCTGTGGTCAGAACCCGTCACAATGAAGGCCGGACCTCTCCAACGAATCAGTCATTGAAGGTTATATCCGCAAATGTGCAAAGCCTCTTCAACAAACTAGACGAACTAAGAGACTTAGTTGATGAAATTAAGCCAGACATTATGGCATTCAAAGAAACGTGGCTTGCTGAAGATATCGCAGATTCAGAAATATCACTTAGAGGATATCAGCAATTCCGGAGAGATAGGCTAAGCCGAGGAGGAGGAGGAGGAGGAGTCATAATTTATGTCACTTGCAAGCTAAGCGCTATGGCTGATGTAAAAAGACCGGTACGGGATGTGGAACTGCTAAGCGTTACCACATCTACTAAGAATGTCCGATCATTGACGCTTTCGGTGGTGTACCGTTCACCTAACCATACTTCTCACCAAGATCTCATGCTTATATCCAAACTGTACCAAGCTAGCGAGAAGAAAGATGTCCTTATCGTTGGGGATTTTAACGCTCCTGGCATTGATTGGCTAACGTGGACTGCACAAGGGCCGCAAGACTGCTTTAATCACAGACTAATACAATGGGCAACGGACAAACTTCTCTGCCAGAATGTTACCTTTGGAACACGGGTCAGGGAAGGGCAGCAGTCGAACTTCCTTGATCTTATTTTTACACGAGAGGAGGAAAATGTGTTAGACCTGCAGGACCGACAGCCATTAGGGTCAAGCGACCACATCACGCTCTACTTCGAGTACTCACTGTTTTCCAAACCCGTCCAACCCGAGAGGTGGGAGAGAAACATTTGGAAAGGGGACTATCCTCTCATGAGGAGGGAAGCGGCAGCTATATCATGGGAGACTGAACTGCATGGTCGAGCAAATGATAACTGGAATACTTTCAGTTCCTTACTGAAAGAGATTGTTTATTCCAATTGTCCTCTTAGAAGAAAGAAAATCACAAACCGCCCAAAATGGATAAACCCGGACTTGAAGGCCTCTTTCAGAAAAAGGAATCTTCTGTGGAGGCGTTACAGACTAACTGGCTCCGACGAACACTTACAGGACTATAAGCGGCAACGAAACGTCTGTAAAAGTGAGGCCTCAAAGCTGCGAAAGAAGTTTGAACTAAACATACTCCGAAATTCGTTGGAGCATCCGAAAGTTCTATATGGTTATATATGAGGTACTAAAAGGATTCAGGAGCTGATCCCTGCCCTTAGGTCTGCAGATGGGAAAGTGGAGATTGATGACCAGGTTAAAGCGTCCCTCCTTTCCGACTTCTTTCAGTCCGTCTTCACCCGAGAACCTAGTGCTATATTTGCCCATCCATCCAGTCGCCAACCAACCTCTCCTCCCAGTACCCTTCCCCATCCTATCCCCTCCCTACCCTCCTTAACCGAGGAACCACTCTTTTCATCTACCATAGTTAGTGCCGAGCTACTCCGGCTGAAACCTGCCAAATCGCCTGGCCCAGATAGAATTCCCGCCCTAGCACTTCGTGAGCTTGCTAATGAACTGTGCAAACCCTTATCCGCAATATTTCAAAAGTCATTTGAAGACGGCGAGCTCCCGGAAGAATGGAAGTGCGCACTCATTACTCCGATCCATAAAGGAGGCTCAAGACTTGACTGCGGAAATTATCGTCCTGTCAGTCTTACTTGCATCGCGTGTAAAATAATGGAACGCATTATCAAAAGACACTTGATGAAATACCTGGAACAGAACAAAATATTGTGTGATGCCCAACACGGCTTTCGTCCAGGGCGCTCCTGCCTAACGAGTGTTCTTTACTCGCACGAGACATGGACACGAGCTACCGATAAGGGTTTTCCAGTAGATGTCATATTTTTTGACTTCAAGAAGGCCTTTGACAGTGTCCCACACAGGCTTCTTTTACAGAAGATCTGGGAGGTAGGGATTCAAGGAAGAATGTTTAAGTGGATCAGGAGTTTTCTGTCCTACAGACTACAAAGAGCCGTCGTTAGTAATTCTACCTCGGAATGGGTAAAGGTGGAAAGTGGTGTCCCACAGGGTTCTGTTTTAGGTCCAGTACTCTTCCTGATTTATGTTAATGACTGCATCAGCGAAGTGAATTGCGAGGCTCTCATGTTCGCGGATGACATAAAAATATGGAGTGAATTCAAGTGTGATGATGACGCAGAGAAGTTGCAGTCGAACATCAACAAACTGTGTGCTTGGTCAAAGAGATAGCTTTTGAAGTTTAACGTGTCCAAATGCGTGGTTTTGCACCTGAACACCGGCCGAAATGCCTCTCCTAAACACCAGTACTATATTGACGGGACGAGGTTAGAAACTGTGGAAAGACACAAATCTATCACCATCAGAACACTGTAGAAAGATGGTCCAGAAGGCAACTAGTACTCTACATTGGATCAGACGTGCATTTAAAATATTTCCTCCCGAACTTTTCGAAAGACTCTTTGGTGTCTTTGTAAGACCTCATCTAGAGTATGGAATGCCAGCAGCCTCACTATGCATGAGGAAGGATATCAGCTTACTCGAACAGGTGCAACGCAGAGCGACAGAGATGGTCGACGGTTTGAAGCAGTTGTCTTATCAGGAGAGGCTGAATTTGCTTGGCCTATTCCCTCTCTCTTATAGACAAAAAACTGCAGTCTACTCTGAACCTTCCGGATTGTTCGCAGCCAGGGTTGCTCATTAGGAGCAGAGGACTTCTTTGAGTTCGCCCGTACAAACCAACTACGCGGCCATGCATACAAAGTCGGGAATGAGCGCACGCGTTTAGACCGACGAAAATTTTCATTCAGCCAGCGGGTTGTCAGACCGTGGAACTCGCTTCCAAGCGAGATGGTGACGGCTGACACAGTTTGTGTGTTTAAAAGAAAACTTGCTCGTCTAGTTTTCGACAGAAATCGGCTTGTACAGCGTGATTATGCACAGCCTGTTTTGTAAAATCTGTCATATACAATCTTCCGCACTAATTTACAGAGACCCCATGCACTACCTTATGATTACGATTGAACTGTGACCCAATCACATTCTAAATGCCTGCAATTTAATTTAATTTTTGAGTATAAATCTGCGAGAGCACTGTACATAAATAGGGTCATCAAGGGCTCTGTCTGTAACCCTTCAATATACATATACATACATATAAATATTTCATGTAATTTTGTTAAGAAGATAAGAATTTCGTCCATTAACTCGTTATTCAAACCTGAAAAAAAATATAAGTGCCAATGCCAATAGAAACGAAGAGTCGAGTCCCAGGAAGCAGTCTTGAAGAAGAAGAAGAAGAAGAAGAAGAAGAAGAAGAAGAAGAAGAAGAAGAAGAAGAAGAAGAAGAAGAAGAAGGCACGATCGCCGGGACAAGAGCTTTATTAGCCTGACGTTTCGGATTCCTGCTCGAATCCATCTTCAGAGACAAAAGCAGATAAGGGTGGTTCGTGCACATGCGGCTGCAGTATTTATAGGACGCAGTAGCCATGCTACCGCATACCTATGAATATTCACGGCTCTCTCCCCTTCAGCAGGGATCGTTGCACGTGGCGTGATGGCCGACATTCGCGTCGTTAATTGCTGCAATTTCATCACGTGCGTTGGATCTTGGTGTGATGATTGCTCGACCATCTGACGCGCTGACCGGGGTGTTGGGAAGAGTGCTCACCTGTGCGCTCGCCGCGTGACCAATTACTCCGCCTAGACGAAGTCTCAGCTTCCCTAAGGTGCACAAAGACGGCGCCCCTCTCCGACCCATCGTGTCGCTCATAGGTACTCCAACGTACGGACTGGCTAAGTGGCTGTTCCGGCGTCTCAAGTTCCTGACCGCTGGGTCAGACACCACGGTCTCTTCGTCAGCACAATTCCTGGAGAAACTCAAAGGGGTAAGCCTCCATCCAAATGACGTCATGGTATCTTTTGATGTTACATCCATTTTTACTTCTATTCCCCAGGACCTGGCGATTGAGACAATCGAGCTGCTTCTACAAAGTAAATACGATGAAACGGATAATCGTCTTGGACACGCCCAAGTCCTTCAGCTCTTGAAGCTCTGTCTCAAGACGTACTTCACGTTCGACGGGACAATCTACGAACAGGTGAAGGGCACACCAATGGGTTCGCCGATTTCGGGGTTCATCGCCGAGGCGGTCCTGCAACGGTTAGAGTCGTTGGTCTTCCAACACCACAAACCGAAGTTCTGGGCCCGGTATGTGGATGATACCTTCGTCGTTATCGACCGGGATCAACTGCTGACATTTAAGTAACGTCTGAATGCGGTTTTCCCGGACATACAATTTACGATGGAGGAGGAAGAGAACAACCTGCTGGCCTTCCTGGATGTCCTCGTATGCCGCAAAGATTGTGGTGAACTAAAAAGCAAAGTGTTCAGGAAGGCGAAAAATACGTTGCAAGTACTGAACTTCAACAGTAACCACCCAATCAGCCACAAACGCAGTTGTGTAAGGACGCTCTATCGGCGTGTCGAAACGCACTGCAGTGAGCTGGAAGACAAAATTGCCGAACTACAATACCCCCGACGGGTCTTCAAATCCAATGGCTACCCGCGCAAATTCGTGGACCAGTGCATACGCAAAAGGGACGAAAGGCCTAACCGCACGGACACCAAGTCTTGGCGGGCACTTCCGTATGTCAAGAACGTTTCGGAAGCTGTTGGCCGCCTTCTCGCACCACTTGGGGTTGAAGTTGCACACAGACCGGAGGCAGCCATCAGGCGTCAGTTGATGAAACCAAAAGACCCACTGTCACGGCAAGAAACGTCTGGAGTCGTTTATCGGATCTGGTGAAGTTGCGGACAAATCAACTACGTCGGAGAAACCGAAAGGCAACTCCAAACGCGAATGGCCGAACACGCTGCTGCGGTGCGGAGAAATGACGCCAGCCCTCAAGTTGCGGCTCATTCGACGGGTTCCGGCCACACATTCAAATTCGATGAGGCCGAAATTCTCGCAAGAGGTGACAACCGCGTGAGCCGGGAGCTGCTTGAGTCATGGTTTAGTGGACCCCAGTCTATTAACAAGTGCAGTGATCATCCCACTTAATACACCGAGCTGAGACTTCGTCTAGGCGGAGTAATTGGTCACGCGGCGAGCGCACAGGTGAGCACTCTTCCCAACACCCCGGTCAGCGCGTCAGATGGTCGAGCAATCATCACACCAAGATCCAACGCACGTGATGAAATTGCAGCAATTAACGACGCGAATGTCGGCCATCACGCCACGTGCAACGATCCCTGATGAAGGGCGGAGCCGTGAATATTCATAGGTATGCGGTAGCATGGCTACTGCATCCTATAAATACTGCAGCCGCATGTGCACGAACCACCCTTATCTGCTTTTGTCTCTGAAGATGGATTCGAGCAGGAATCCGAAACGTCAGGCTAATAAAGCTCTTGTCCCGGCGATCGTGTCTTCTTCAATTAGTGCCAATTTTTACAGCATGAATTCGGAAATGGGCATAGCCATCGGCATGTTCAGCCAGGCGCAAACTGCCACAGCTGATACAATTCTGATTATATTTACAGTTGCTTTTCAGCTAATGAGTAGCTAGCCTACATTCGAATGGTTCAACCGTGTCTGAAGGCGCCATCACAGCGGAGAGTCCGTTCCAGGCTACATCGACATTCTGCGAAATGTGTTCCGTCGGACATACGCATGGGCCAATTCCCCCTGCAGTTTGAGGGATGACCATGTCGACAGTTCGTTCAAACCAATTCGAATTGGCCTCGAAAGCTAGATCACATTAGTAGCATCTATCGATCCGGTAGCTCAACGCGTAGGTGTCTGTAGTTTAGGGGAAAAAAAGAAGTTCAGTCAGTCCGGCTCTGTTGGACAGGTGGCCAAGATTCTTCCCTATCTTCGTAGCCCCCGCCTGCACTCGTTCGGGCAGTTGACAATCCTTCTTGAGCACCGAACGCTGGGACTTTACGACACAATTCAAGTGGGACCGAATAAACACCGCGTAAGTTTTTCTCTAGAGTTCCTTATCAATTTGCACAAATCTCACTTTAACACAAATAGCATCCTTGGTGCGCGTTCAGCTGCTTTTAAGCACACTGGCAGTGGTTTAAGCGAAGAGGTCATTAGAACGCTGAGATCCTTTTGTTCATCAGCATGTGAAAAGGGCTGTCCATCGGAAATAATTATCTTCCTCGTTGGTCCTCGTGGCACGGAGTTTCAGAATCACCCACTTGCCAGCGTTTCAATTTATTAGTCAACGATCAGACCAGCCGTTAACTCGGTTAAGACACTCTTCAAGTGTATGCCTATCTGTGTCAAACCTGAAAGGTTCTCAGAGTTTTATATTGTCAGCAAACATAACGGAAACGCAACCCAGGTTGTCGATACAGTCGTTGACGTATACCTGGAAGAGTAACGGCCCGAGGACTGAGTCCTGGGGAGACACAATTTAAAACGGAGTTAGTGAGTTGACTTAGACGCACCAATGCATATGGTCTACGGTCTCCCCTGAGGAAATTTGGGATTAATTTGGGCACTTTGTCTCATTAAAATTTCGGATAATTTAGGGACTAGACATTTGTGCGGAACGCTGTCAAACGTCTTCCTGAAGTCGTCGTAGATGAAGCCAACTGTGCTATCCTTATCCGGTACACGAGCCCACTGCTCAGTCGAGAGTGACAATCAGAAAAGACAGGGACGGTTATTTCCGAAGCCGTGTTGCAACCCTGAGAGTAGGTAGTTCTCCCTTGTCGATTTCTCAAAAATAGTTTCCATTACTTTACACCAGCTGCTGGTTAGACTGACGGGACGAAAATTATTCACATTGGTTTGGGCCTCACCCTTATATCTCGGGTAAGTATTCGTCATCTTCCATTCAGATGACAGTTTCCCTAACTTATTTGACGGATGAAAATTATACGCCAGTGGCTTACAGATATCTGAAGGGGATCAGTTCGTTGCACGTTGTACATAATGGTTTTTTAATGTCACTCTTTCCTCAACAATGTTCATTATTCACGTGAAGGACAAAGAGCAAACTGAGGGCAGACTTATCCAGTCTCGACTGGAGCTTATTGTTTACGAGTAATGGCAACGATGACTGGGAGTTCATGAATGTCCTTCTGCAGCTTATCAACAGCCACTGCCCACTGACTAGTGTAATACTGGACAAACGCCCTGGGTGGCGAAATAGCAACCTAAAGAAAGAAATCAACAGGAAGCACAAATTGTAAAGAAAATACTGCGTCACTAGACAAGTTTCAATACCTAGAAGACACAGATGAACAAACTGAGAAAAGTCCTTATAAAAACGCGGCGGAAATTCGAGAAGAATTTGCTAAAAAGTGCAACGCAGAACCGAAAATTGCCCTACAGCTACCGCCGACGAAGAACAAGGAAAATACATCAAATCCCCTTAATAAGGACTACTGATGACGTTGAGATTGCGGATAGTAGGGACAAAGCGGCGTATTTTCAAAGTTTTTACAATCAGTCTACACAAACGAGGCAAGGTTCCTTCCTCAATTCTCATCAGAACTGCCGACTTCAAGCATCGCTGACATACTCTTCTCAGAAAACACTGTCCGCAGAGAATTAGAGGCATTGAACGAATCGAGATCGCCCTGACCCGACGATATTCCACTGGAGCTTCTCAAGGAACTTGCCAGTGAGCTTTCTGGGCCTTTTTTGATACTCCTTCAAACGCCGTTTGACACTAGGTCACTTCCTATCGATTAGAAGCTGGCTCACATTACTCAGCTGCACAGAGGAGGTAGAAGGTAATCGCTGATAAATTACAGGATCATAAGCTTGACATGTTTTTTCTGCAAAGTTATGGAAAGGATCATAACGAGTGGATTTATGCATTTCCTGGAAGTTCACGGCCTGCTATCGAACTGTCAACAGGGGTTCCGGAAATGAAGATCCTGCGTGACAAAGTTGGTGCAATCCCTCCAGACCTGGACCAGAGTTCTCGATGCACATGCACGTGGACCTTATAGCTTTCATTGCGTTCCAGAAGGCGTCCGACACTGTGCCACACCAGAGACTGTTAAAAAATTTGAAACAACATTGATCAGCGGCAACTTCCTTAGATGGATCGAAAACTTCCTTGTGGGTAGACACCAGGTTGTGTGCATCGGTCAAGGGATATCAGATCTTGCTGTCGTCGAGAGTGGTGTCCTCCAGGGTTCAGTATTGGCACCCATTTTGTTCCTTATTTACGTAGACGATGCCGCAAGAACTTCAGATTGCGAAGCAGCAATGTTTGCGGATGACATGAAGATATGGTGCGCATCGCATGGGCCTATTCGGCCACATGCGCACCCACGACGACCTGCGGTAGACAACCGCCGGTCACACCACACATTAACTCACTCCCTACCTCCTCCACCATCACCATCACCCCACCAGAAATCAACACTCACACACCTCATGCACCCAACTGCCACCTCCCACGCAAGTGGGAAGTCCGCATCTCGACTCGGTCCCCATGCGGCTTCGGCTGCACGGGTGACTTGAGTCCGAGACTATCCCGACACGTCAAGCGTCGTGGATAGGAAGGTTGCTGATTGACGCCCGCTCTCGGTTCACGCAGTTCGTCGCGTTGTGTGTGTGTGTGTGTTGTGTGGAGTGGAGTGGCGGACTGGTGGGCTGGGGACGGGCTGAAACAGCACCTTCCACGGCACTCTCACGCAAATGAGAGACACGCCGTTCAACCCCCGTTGTGTGAAATCCTGGTGTTGTGTGTATGGGGGGGCATATGGTATGAGGATCTAAGAGGCAAAAATGCACAGGGAGTGATGAACGCATAGGACTGTGCTTCTTGCTCTCAAAAACGCGTTTTGAAGAAGGCCAAACTTCCCATAAAATGGGTATATGAAATGGAATTATTGCACGAAGTGTAACTGAATTTATACAAACTCCAAAATTCAATGACAAACTGAGCATTTATTAAGTCCGAATCTCTGAATATAACTGTAGGCCGGAAAGTCGCTCAACGAATAGTCAAGACCCTAGGGCATGTCAATCTTGCGTGTACGTATGCTTCATTCCGGCCTGTATTGCAGCTCTGGCTGCACAGTGTGGGATCCGAGCCAGGCGTTGGCGGCACGCCCAGGTGCGGCTTCGGCCGTGCCAGCCTCCAAATCTCTCTTGTGTTGGTTGAAATCCTGGTTATTTGTTGTGTGGACCAGGGGGTGTGGTGGAACGCCAAGGTGAGGATCCGTCCGAGCCATCCACCTGCGGCCTCTTTCGTCTCCGGTCTTCTTGACTCTGTTTTGACACCGGGCTCGGGCGAGGGGGGAGGAGAGAGTGTAGGTAGATGCTACGCAAGTCTACTGGCACTATAAACCCCTGCGTAAGTCACCGTCCCTGCTCCCATTGCTGCTGCAACTGTGGGGCACACGGTGGACATCATCGAAACCGATGATCGAACTGTCATGGTGCGCAATTCGGCACTCTGGCGACGAAGGCAGGCTGCAGGTGAACTTAAATCGGTTGGAAGAGTGGTTAAACCGTTGGTTCCTGCGGTTCAAAGTTAGTATATGTAGCATACTTCGCCTAGGCAACACAGCCAGGTCCGCCAGCCCAAGGGACTACTTTCTGAGCGATGCAGCATTACGAGACGTCGAAGCCCAAAAGAACCTCGGTGTGCTGACGACGAGTTCCCTAAAACCATCTGCCCATTGTTCGAGAGTGGCAAAGAGCGCAATGTCCGCACTGTACGCCATCAAGCGCGCGTTTATGGATTTTGACGAAGAAGCCTTCTCAAAGACATTCGGAGCATTCGCCCGGCCGCATTTGGAGTACGGCATACAAGCCTGGAGACCGTGGGCGGTTGAGAATCAAAACTGCCTTGAAAGAGTTTATTTAGGAGTCACAACTCCCTTCTTTATGCATACCACCTAGTAAATCTGAACATCATCCCTTTGAGTTACAGGAAACTTTGCGGGGGTCTCTTGCAAGCACTTTGCATTGTTAAGGGGCTGGATTGCGGCCTGGCCTTCGAGGACTTTTTTGAATTTGCTACCACGAGGAACCTCCGAGCACTCAGCGAGCATGGTTGGATGTGCAGAAGTTCTCCTTCTCTGTTCGAGTGGTCAAACCATGGAATGCCCTTCCTGCAGATGTTGTGACGCCAACATCTATACAAAGCTTTAAAAAGAACCCCGACCTATTCATATTCCGAAATGACCAAGAGAGATGAGAGATCGAGCTCATCCCCTGTAACTCGCTCCCATTTTTTCATATAATTATGGGGTCGTTTGGACTATTTTAGCCCAAAAACGTTTTCTGTACACCACACTATTTTACGTTGTGAAAGGCTTACGCCCATTTTCCTGTATAAACTGAACTGAACCCTTGCTCGCATTGCAGTTTTTGTAGTTAAGCATGGATGCACGATTCGGTGTACTTTTTTTTCTGGTAATGTGCGTTGAATTGCTTGTTGCCCACCAACCTATCTCGGTCCCTTTCCAACTGGAGTGTCACTGATCGCCTAGCTGTTTGATTTCCACTTCGAGTCAGTCAGTTTGCAACAAAATTCATCAAAAGCTTCAGAAGTCGTTTGCTTACTTATTTGTTCTCCAATGTACTTACAGCTTGGAGCCTACAAACATGCTAAGCGCCAATCGGCATTTTGGATGGGGTACAGTCCGCAGGAAATAGTTCAGAACTTTGCTACCTACAAAAATGAACGGAAAAATACCTCTCCCGTCCAGATTAAGGCACGTTGCTACTTTTTGTTTAAAAATATACGGTTATCTGCGCTCCTACTTTCGAACCGGCGCACGGACAGGATGGTGGGTTCTCGTGCTGGCTTTCTAGTTATGCTTTTCACAGGCCGCATTAATGCTCCCGGAGAAGTTTCAACACATTCTTCGTGTTATGAACACGAATATCGATGGCCAGCGGAAGGTATCGTTTGCCATTACCGCCATTAAGGGGGTTGGTCGGAGATATGCCGTCGTAGTTTGTAAAAAGGCTGACATCGACATCCGCAAGCGCGCTGGTGAGTTGACAGAAGACGAGGTCGAAAAGCTGGTGACTGTTATGAGCAATCCTCGCCAGTACAAGATTCCGGATTGGTTCTTGAACAGGCAAAAAGACGTAGAGGATGGCAAACACAGTCAACTTATGTCGCAAGCCCTAGATACCAAGCTTCGTGAGGATCTGGAGCGCCTCAAGAAAATCCGCGCACACCGTGGTCTCCGACATTACTGGGGGTAGGTTCCACTTGTTAATCTTCGTATTTAATGCTTTGCACCTGAATTGCCCGGGATTATGTTGGACTTATCCTGTCAACCACCGAGTTCCTATTTTATCTTACTGGGGATAATGCCAAGACACGACCCTGTGGGTTAACATCGCTTAGTTACTCTTCCCACTTGGGAGCCTGCGTTAGCACTCTGCGACGTCTGTTTGCGCATCGATGCATGGGCCTTCTTGCGCACTTTCCGTTCGCTTCTTTTTGGTGGTTAAATTAATTGCACTCGATCTTCGTGTATGTATTTGTTGACCTGGAATAGTCGATTGCCCATCCATGACCCCGTTTTGACCAATGCGTCTATTGAGTTCACCTTTGGCCTATATTCTTTCGTTTGGATTTTTCATCTGGTCTCATTGTCCAGAAAGTTGACTTCCCTTCAATGGAGCTAGTCTTCAAAAACCCAGATTGTCCATTATTCTCCGTGCGTTCTTTATTTTCTTTTTTAGTCTCCGCGTTCGTGGTCAGCACACCAAGACCACTGGTCGTCGCGGACGTACCGTCGGTGTGTCTAAGAAGAAATAAAATGCTGGAATAAAGTTTTCACTGGCACTTAGTCCCTTTTAAATACGACCACTGGAGTCGACAGTTATCCCTTCAATTCCACCTTGTCTAGTTTGTCGTGGTCCACTCCGCGGCCCGCCTCGTTTTTGTGTATATGCTGGCCCTTATCTACGTAATAAGCGTATTTTTGCTATGACAATCATGTTTGCGCACACAATGAGATTAGGTTATAGCCAGGTCACCGGTGCCTACCGGAGGCCTCGGCTAAGACTGCGCTCGCACTGTGCCTTTTCGACGGAATTTGGCTTGAAAGACTTTCGGGTGGCATGTCAACAGCCCCGTCAGTTGTCTGAACTTATGTTTGCTCTGCGGGGGTTAGGACGTCAGACATAAATTTCAGAAGACGCGTGCGGCTTTTTACGCCAGTATCTGAGGCATCGCTTGACGAAAGGAAGCACGCGGTTAGGTAGATGTACATAGGTGATGCACGTTGATATTTAGAATTCAATCGAACGTCAACCGGCCTAGGAAGTCGTAATCTCATCTGGCAATCCTAAATTACCAAACCCTATCTGACTTGTTTCTTGACCCTGCATTGTATTTAATTGCGCTTCAACCGTAGTCCTACGAAACCTTGCGTCCTGTAATGTCGCCCTGGTGTCCCGTCCATCTTTGCTTTCAACTTCTGAATAGTTGCGTGCCGGTCTCGCGCCGTTCTTTGGACACATTAAGCGTTATCGTGAACTGCTGGTGCCATCGCGGTCGCATGGTGGTGTTTGGACACTAAATTGCATGGGCCGGTCGTGTACTCGTTAAGTCTCGTGTTGCCTATTATCTATCGTTGCTTGCGGGGCATGAAGCAAGAATTAATGAAGATGCAAGCTGTGTGGCAGTGCTGGCTTGACTGTTTGCCAACGCACACTTCGGGAGAACTACGATTGTAGCAGGCGCTAGAGGGCGGTCCTACATGACCGCAGCGGCTGGCGCGCACGTTCCCTCGTAGGTGTTCTCGACCAGTCTTAATGGTGTTCATAGCAGAAACTTGGCTGTTTCTGTGGTGCAGTTTCTTGTATCTTGCGCAGGATCCCAGAATGCAGGTTTTTGTACAAGTAGTAAGTTTTTTTAGCAGAAGTTGGTGCACCCTAGGCGGTGTCAATGATATCCAAGAATCCACGGCAGGTAGTTCCATGCTTTGGACGCTAGATGGACTCATTTGTTTTTGTCTACTCAAACGCCTCAGCAGGATCCGGGACACAGCTGGAGTAGCCTGGGCCTACCTGGCAGAGAACAAAGATGACTACTCATTTGCCTTCTTCAGTTGTCCCGCACTCGGTCTACTTGCGCAGGTTGGTTCTCAGGATCAGATATGGCTGTATCGTTGGCTCCTGTTGGAATTTGCCCCGATTGTCGTCGCAGCGCATCCGTACAGTTTCGGCCGAGGACGCGCGGTGGTCCATGGGAGAAATCGTGAACCTCTGCCTCTGTTTAAAATGTGTAGGTCCCCAGTTATGGCCGGCTCTGTCCGGCATGCTTGTCTCAAATGACTGTGAGGTTAGATGATGGAGTGGTTCCGACCCTGAGTGAGCGCCATTGCAGTTGGTTATCGACAGACTCAAACGGAGTTAAGACAGTTGGCACTCAGACGGGGGATTCAGATCTCCACGCCCGCCCATGTTTTGTCTTTGCTACTAACATCACCAGCCGTAGCTGACTTGTTTGGCAGACATGTCAGTTAATTCATATTTCAGGTCTTCATGGCATGCGACTGCTTAGTTTTCACTGGACGCCATCGATCGCATAGACCTCGGCCTCGATTTCAATAACGCGATCGCCGACTGGAAGTCGGAGCAAGTTTGGCCGCAAAGCAATGATTGAAAGGCGCTAACAGTCGCTGCAGCGCTAGCACCGGCAAATGATCGACGCGACCATCCAACTGGAGGGCTACTCGGCGCTGTGGCAGATGATGGGCGTATATGGCTGCCGGCGTGACTGCAGTTGCGGCGCATCTGAGCACTCCGTGTTTCCTCAGGGGTACGCAATAATTGTATCACCCACGACCGAAGGTCTGTGTAGGGCATGGTGGGGTTATCACAATCCTAAGACGTGAGTGACGAAACGGCCAAGAAAATGGGACTGACTACCTTGCGGTGCCCATTCAGGGGTCGGTTGACGATGTAGGATGATCCATTAGGGGGAGGGGTGCGGACATGAAGAGTGTAGAGCTCAACCGAGAAGGCGGTCCAGGTCGGCTACATCCGTCTTTCGCGCAGCGTGAAGGTCTTCTCATCCCCCAAGAGACGCCCATGGGCCGTCACATGCCCTTCCCCCGGGATCTTCACCGACAGTCGCGATTGAGAACGAGCGGCACGCAAGTCGACGAATTTTTAGATCAGGCGCAGATTCAGGGGGGGGGGATGTCAATCTAAAATGCCTATGGCGGTCGACGCCCACCTGACCATGCTTTTCACAAAGTTGGCGAGAAGTCTCAACCTGCAGACAGGACATTAGCTGCGAGACACCCAACTTCTAACTTGCACCCTAATGGAATGCCAAGTAGTACCATTCAGAGATGATGGAATTTGTTTCCCGGGCTGTCCGCTATATTAGGCTAGGATTGAAGTTGGTCGACGATTCCGCTAGCGGTTGGCAATGAACCATCTCCCGGATCGGTTAGCATCGCAAGACGTTGGACAGAGGGCGGGCCTGGATTCAGCATCTGCATCGGGTTGTGATGTAAGAGAGGGGGTCTGAGAGTGGCAACTCGGCAACTGCCAAGGGTTACTGTTCCCACACTAGGCATGTAATCGTCCTAGGCCACTGGATGGACAGGTCAACAGATGTTAGCAGTCGTTAGGCATACAGGGCCTCTGAGTATATGCGTGAGTTTGGCCGAACCGGATACAACGATCGGGTTTGGGTTCGTAAACGCCTCCGCTGTTGGCTAAGCGAACCATTTTCTAGCTCCGGTGTCCCTGTACATGCCGGACTGAACGAACCTCCGGGCAACCGTCTTCGCCGCTTCTCGCAGCACAGGCCACGAGAGACTGAATTAGTTAGAGCTGTTGTAGTTCAGGAAGCGGACCACGAATGAGCGACGGAAACCGATGACCTGGTGACAGAGCACATAGTTGACGCCAGGGTTGGGTAGGCAATATTTAGCGTCCTCGTTACCGTTGCACTGTCACGTTATGTCATGTTATTGTATTATGTTATTGCATTTGATCTCCAGATGCAGCTGGTTAATGGACGTTGGGTACTCGAATAGGACATGAGTTAAGGCCGCTGTCACCTTTCCAAAGGCGACATGGGTATCTGATGGCGGTCCATGCCAGTCTTTGGGGCCTGGGAAGATAGTGGAGTGTTGACGTCAGCGCAGCTCTGAACTAAATGGCTCTGGAATCTGATCATGCTCGGGAATGCTGCAACCTGTGCCCTGGGGCTGACAGCCAAAAAATGAAAATGGCGGCAAACTATAGAAAGACAGGCACCTTTGGAGTCATTCTGCTACCTTAGGGCCTCTGATGGAGGCGAGCTTAGCGCATACAGGAAACTTAACGATGCCAGTCCCCTTGAGAGGGCTAAATGTCGATGCGCAGTGCCACACGTACTTTTCAGCATTGGTTCAACATGGCCTACGACGCTGGAATACACAAGGCCATAAGCCACTCTATCAAGAGGGCTTTGGGAGGTGGTTCGGAGGGCAGAGGGCATGCGCAAGAGCCCCGCGCTTGCATGTGGATATTAACAGCATCAGACTCGAAGTTTTTTTTACAAGAAGAACTCCAGTGAGTCTGAACCATTAGCTGACTTGAATGGGAGAACAGAAGCGACTGGTAGCAAGTGCGCA